AACCCTGTCTCTACTAAAAATACAAAAATTAGCCAGGCATGGTGGTGCACCTGTAATCCGAGCTACATCGGAGGCTGAGACAGGAGAATCACTTGAACCAGGAGAGAGGAGTTGAAGCAAGCCAAGATCGCGTCCCTGCGCTCCCCCCCGGGGAGAGAGAAAGAGACTAAATCCAAAAAAAAAAAAAAATAGTGCCAGGCAAGGTGGCTCATGCCTATAATCCCAGCACTTTGGGAGGCCAAGGCAGGTGGATCATGTGAGGTCAGGAGTTCAAGACCAGCCTGGCCAACATGGTGAAACCCTGTCTCTACTAAAAATACAAAAAATTAGCTGGGCGTGATGACGCATGCCTATAATCCCAGCTACCTGGGAGGCTGAGGTAGGAAAATGGCTTGAACCCAGGAGACCGAGGTTGTGGTGAGCCAAGATCTCACCATTGCACTCCAGCCTGCGCAACAAGAGCACAACTGTCTCAGAAAAAAAAAAAAAAAAAGTTAAAATAGTAAATTTTATGTTAGGTATATTTTACCACAATAAAAATAATTTAAATAAAGAAAGCTCACACTCATTTGTAGTTAATATCCAGTCTCCCTAGACACTTTCCAGCCCTAAGCAGACACTGATTTTTCTGTCTCTATTAATTTGACTATTTTGGACTTTTCATGTTTGGAAATATACAACATGTAGTCTTTGTAACTGATGTTCTTCATTTGCACAGTGTTTTCAAGGTTCATCCTTGTAGCATGCATCAGTACTTCAGTCCTTTTCACAGCTACATATCATCCCATTGTGTGATTATACCCTTTTTATTTTTTTGAGACGGAGTCTCACTCAGTCGCCAGGCTGGAGTGCAGTGGCAAGCTCTCAGCTCACTGCTATGTCCACCTCTCGGGTTCAGGTGATTCTCCTGCCTCAGCCTCCTGAGTAGCTGGGACTACAGGCACGTGCCATGACACCCAGCTAATTTTTGCATTTTTGGTAGACACGGGGTTTCACCATATTAGCCAGAATGGTCTCAATTTTTTGACCTCATGATCCTCCCCCGCCTCGGCCTCCCAAAGTGCTGGGATTACAGGCATAAGCCACCATGCCCGGCCAAAGGTTTTTATATTTTTTGGAAATATCTTTATATTACTGATTTCTGTTATCATCACAAAACATATTTCATAATATTTTAACCTTGTAGACAGCATCTAGATAGCTCTTGCTTTGATTGATTGATTGATTGAGACAGAGTCTCTTCTGTGGCCCAGGCTGGAGTGCAGTGGCACGATCTCAGTTCACTGCAACCTCTGTCTCCCGAGTTCAAGTGATTCTCATGCCTCAGCCTCCTGAGTTGCTGAGATTACAGGTGGCCGCCACCACGACAGGCTAATGTTTATATGTTCAGTAGAGACAGCGTTTCATCATGTTGACCAGGCTGGTCTCGAACTCCTGACTGCCAGTGATCCACCCGCCTCAGCCTCCCAAATAGCTGGGATCACAGGTGTGAGCCACTGTGCCTGGCCACATTTTTTCTTTTTTTTAGGAGAGATGGGGTTTCACCATGTTGGCCAGGCTGGTCTCAAACTCCTGACCTCGGGTGATCCGCCTGCCTCGGCCTCCCAAAGTGCTGGGATTACAGACGTGAGTCATTGCACCCAGCCCCTAATTTTTATGTTTGTAGAGACGGCGTCTTGGTATGTTGCCCAAGCTGATCTCAAACTCCTGGCCCCAAGGGATCACCCTGCCTTTCTCCATGACAACCACTCTAACAGATACAGAGCGACCTTGCCCAGACTGGCCACTATGGTGAAACCCTGTCTGTACTAAAAATACAAAAACTTAGCCGGGCGTGGTGGTGGGTGCATTTAATCCCAGTTACTCAGGAGGCTGAGGCAGGAGGATCGCTTGAACCTGGGAGGCGGAAGTTGCGGTGAGCTGCACCACCGCACTACGGCCTGGGCAGCAGAGTGAGACTCCATCTCAAAAAAAAAAAAAAAAAAAAAGTGACCTTGTGGCTTTCACTCGCATTTCCCTAATGACAGTGATGTTGAGTATCTTTTTGTGTACATATTTGTCATCTGCATGTCTTCATTAGTGAAGTGTTTATTCAAATCATTTGCCCTTTTAAAATAATTGGGTTTTTTGACTTTTAAGAGTTCTTAAAATATTTGGATGCTAGTTGTTTATCAAGTATGTAGTTTGCAAATATTTTCTCCCACTGTTTGCCTTATCTTTTCATTCTCTTCATAATGTTTGTTGAAGAGCAGAAGTTTTTAATTTTGATGGAAAATTTATCAAGGTCTTCTCTTGGGATCATGCTTGTACATAATGCACTTTTGTATATAATGAACTTTTGCATCATTTAGGGTCACAAAGATTTTCTCCTACGTTTCCTTCTAGAAATGTTATAGTTTTAAGTTTTGCATTTAGTGATTTGGTCCATTTTGAGTTAACTTTTGTACAGAATGTCTATTTAAAGTACATTTCTTGGCAGTGGCTCATGCCTGTAATCCCAGCATTTTGGGAGGCCAAGGTGGGCGGATCACGAGGTCAGGAGATCGAGACCATTCTGGCCAACATTGTGAAACCCCCGTCTCTACTAAAAATATAAAAATTAGCCAGGTGTGGCAATGCATGCCCATAATCCCAGCTACTTGGGAGGCTGGGGCAGGAGAATTGCTTGAACCTGGGAGGTAGAGGCTGCAGTGAGCCAAGATTGTGCCACTGCACTCCAGCCTGGTGACAGAGTGAGAATCTATCTCAAAAATATAAATAAAATTTTTTTTTAAAAAGT